GTCTTGACTACTGACGAGGTGTAGGGCGAATCGAGGCTCTCCAGTGAGTAACAAACACGAAGCATGATCAACAAAGAAAAGTAAACTAAAGTAAAGTAAACGCACCGAAAGCCTCCACACACCCTCTTCACAAAACTTGTCGAAACTAGTTCACCATGTCCAGGAGGAGTTTGGCTTCCTACGAATTCCAAGCACTTCTATATTTACATGTGCGGGTGACCAATCATTTGGACCAGACACTCGTACAAGTTCACAACCATCTGCATCGGAGGCCGAAGCGATCAAGCGGAAAGTAGATTCAACGGTAGCGAAGCGACGTAAGGAGGCCAAGACCGTCCGTTCTCCACTGCAGCAGGTTACAGTCGCAAGGTTGTGAGTTCCCAGCTTTTCAACAGTATTTCACTAATTACAAATTTGTGCAGCAGCTATTGGTAACATGCACGCCAGACCCTCAAGTCGGTTGGCATGGAAAACTTACTGCGCGCTGCCCACGACTCTCACAACAGTAGTAGTAGTAGTAGTAGTAGTAGTAGTAGAAGTAGTAGTAGTAGTAGTGGTAGTAGTTGTTGTTGTTGTTGTGGTAGTGGTAGTAATATTTTTTTGTCACCCACAGTAGTAGTAGTAATAGTAGTAGCAGCAGAAGTAGTAGTAACAACAATAATAATAATAGTAGCAGTAGTAGTAGGAGGATTATTCAGGGTTCCAAGGACCTTTACGGTCCAGGCCACTGCCCGAATTCCTGAAGCCTGGAGGTTAAACTTAATCGAGCAGATGGGTAGCTGTCGGAAAGAAAGACGTTCCTGCTAATGTAGGGGCCTTAATAATCACCTATACTATTTTGGGGGTTCCCGGTTATAGACATAGTGGAATGGGCCCCACGACCCTATTCTAATTATTAAGGCCCCTATGTTATCCTTGCCGGTTTTCTTGTTGCTGCTGTTGCACTGCTCGTGTCATGGCACACAAGCTTTTGCTTCTCCCAAGCTTCGTGCCAGGTGTGTTTTCGAGTGCGACGACTCTTTGCGCGCCAACTGCTGCGCACCTCGGATGATCCAGACATGACATGAAGGGTGTGAACCTCGACCAGGAAATCCAGGTTCAATCAGAGCTTTTGGAGAAATTGAATTGCTTCAGGATCCGTAAACTGTAGTGTGCCAGCATGGACTCGCGTAGACCCATGAAAGATGTGCCATACTTACCCGCGAACCATTCCAGGAACCCTGGCTCCCATGAGCCCAAAAGCGCACTACGCAAGACGGCAGCGCGATTGGCACTGGAGAACATGCACCGCGCTGTGGGGAACACGCGGCCGCACGAGAAATGCACGGTGCTGTGGATGTATTTCAGGAAGCGGAAACGCTGGAACTGTCGCGCCACAGGATGTTCGAGAAGCGGAGGGGCTGAGTACGATTTCCACCCCAAAACACCTCAGAGTGCACACGGCCTCTTCGTCTAATACGAGAGCACCAAGTTTGGATGCTAAAGAGAATTCGGTGCTATTGGCGGACTCGCCGGCGCCGGCCTGTGCAAAGAAAGCGACTCTTGTCCAACATGTACATTGCGGCGGGAGCGGCGGAACCGCTGCGCGCCCGCCACAAGCGCCTTGTGCTTACACTAAATAATTGAGCCCGTGTGCTCTGAACTTATATGAGCCCGTACTCTTACCAGATTGCTTTGGAAAACCACGACGCGTCAAGGCTCTTCTTGTCGAAGGGCCGAAGGAGCTTCAAGAGATGCCGAAAACACCGAAGGGCCCTCATTACATCAGCAAGAGAAAGCTAGATAGGCAGGACGAGGGGTTCCTGGACTAGGGATCTTTACCTACGGATATTTTGGGCATGAAGCATCAGATCACCAGGAGAAGCCGAGATGCGCCTGGCATTATTGCCAAACTTGTCGTGCAAGTTTTCCAAGCCTCTTCGCACGGCCAAAATTGAACCCTATACCCTATGGGACCTCTCAAAACGGCAAGAACTCATTCGCAAAAATTCGCAGAGACAGCCTAAAGGGCCACAACGTCGGTTCTTGAATGCAGTGTGGCGCTGGGATGTGGTGGGTAGGGAGAACAGGGTTTACTCCACAAAATAAAACAGTTCGAGAAATAATGAGTCGACTTGATGCAAAGTCCTCATGTTCGGTATTGATGCTGAGATTGATGTTAGTGATTATTTTGGTGGCCTGGTGCGACGTCGTGTGCGGCACAAAAGAATGGGTTCTGATGCACGCATGTGCCTGTTTTGCCTAGGGCCTAGGCAGCAGAGAAGTGGTAGTTTGCTGATTCTCCACGGCTTGGCTTTTCAATTTGGACCTGACCGGCGAAAATGGTGCTCGATACCTCCAATATTTGTATCTACATGGTGGCGACTGCGGACGTTGATACATCTGTGCCAGGTCGATCTTCGACATTTGCGAGACACCGAGTGGTTACTGTGAAGCTGGACCCGTTCGTCTTAAGATGGTCGTTGCACCGCACTGGTTTGACATATCTCCGTAGCATGCAAATAATCATCGTGGAAGTATTCGTCGTAGCCGATGCTCAAGCAGCTTGCCTTGACCGATTACAATTGACAGGAATGGAAACCCTCACGGAACCGTGGGCCCCAAGAAAGACCCGAAATATTACGTAGGATCCTGAGTATAAGGACACAAAAAGACGATCCCGAATGAGGCCCCAATGTTGAGAACGCCCAAACTATCTGGCTGCGCGTGGCTCTCCCACCTTTCTGGATGGAGCGCAGGCGCTTGACACGACCTAGCGACGGGTTTAGGGTCGGCACTCACACTCGGACGCTCGAGCCGAGGAGTTTGAGCTTAGGGTTTCAGGTTTGCGGCTCAGGGTTTAGGCTTCATGCCGCGGGGCCATGCGGGCGTCTTTAAGTCTTAAGTGTTTTGGGGGTGTCGGGGATCTAAACGATCTGCAGCCACCCATCTGCGGTTGCGTCTTAGGCTTTCGGCGCTCACAACTCGGACATACTCGGACAGTCCAGGCGAGGCATATGTCTGTAGGTCGGCTGAGTGAAGCTGGGCTAGGTTAGGATTTCGGGTTCAGGGCTGTTTCTCGGGCACTTGTGAACTTTCACCCGGTCGTCATCACCAGCTTCTCCTGTCCTCCACATCCACAATACGCTCTTAACGACCTGCTGCAGGGAGTTGTGGTAGAATGATATAGTATAGGGGCCCTAGCTACACTGCACTATGGTTACAATAAGGAACCCCCAAAATAACCTAGGTAATTACTCAGGCCCCTTTTTTTTGCTGGAAGCCCTTAGCTCCTACACCTGATACGGCGAAAAGAGAGCTGCACAGGCCTGTCAACTCCTCCACCGACTCTGCCAGCTTCGTATTCTCCTCCGCGTCACACACGAAGAGCATGTGCTAAGGGAAGTGGTGCCATCCCGAAGCACCAAGAACTGACTGCCAAGCTGCCGATCCGCAACCTCCAGCTTGAAATTCGATACAACATCTTCTGATACCTGAAGACCTGTCCTCCTAAACCCCTAAACCCTTTTTGAACCCAGGCTCTGCTCCCCTAAACCCTAACCCCATAAGCCCTAAAGACCTGTCCTCCTTGTAGACGCCCACTTCCTTCCGCAGCCGCTTCGCGATGACGAGCAGCTCGCCCTGCAAGGCCTGGAGTCGAGGACGAATCTGCCGGATCTTCCTCGTCCCTGTAGAAGTCTGCAGGGTCTTAGGCTTTAGGGTTTAGGGTCCCTTCAGTGTCTGATGTTCATTGTCCCTTTAGAGTCTGTAGGGTTTAGGGTTTAGGGTTTAGGGCTCAGGTTTTAGGGTTTAGGGTTTAGGGTTCAGGGTTTAGGGTTTAGGGTTTAGGGTTTAGGGTCCCTTCAGAGTCTGTGGCAGAGGATCGAAGAAAAGCGCTGATTGCGAGTGGCGTTTCTGGCACCATTGGGTTCAGGTTGAAGGATTTCTGATGTTCCAAAGGTCCCACCACCGGAGGCTTAAGTGGAAAGTACCTCTCCTTCCTTGGTCCGACCTTGCTTTGCTCTGAGAAAGCCCGTGGCAAAGAAGCTGGGAAGGCCAAGAGCTTGGGGAAAGGCCCCGGTCTGAAATCTCTAAAGGAAACCCGAGCCCTTCTCTGAGTTCTGGCCACGTCACCAGCCCTCCACCGAGGATGAGCATCAGAAAGGCGATCGTAGAAGCTGAAAAGTCCAGGAAGATCACATCCCTGGTCGAATGCATGTAGGTTTCGGGGTTAAGGGTCTAAGGTTCTTGCAGTTGTTCCGCATTCGGGTTCCGGCTTCGGGTTTCGACTCACACACTCGCTCACAGGCAGGCATGGCTTTGGGTTTACGGTTCTTTTTGAAGTTCACTGGGGATGCATTCAGCCGGCATGTCACTCTAGATCCGCGAAAGCCTGCACCCTGACCCGTGAACCCGAAGCTGATAATATAGGGGCCTCAATAATTAGAATAGGGTTTTGGGGTCCTTTATAGTATACTTATAATAAGGGACACCCAAAATACTATAGGTACTTATTAGCAGCTGAGGCTGTAGCTTGGCTTGCGCTCGCACTGTCGCGTTAGCCTGCTACTTGGTCTTTGTTCGGCTTTGCGGAGCGATTTATGGGGCCGGCTGACGTGTGGGGTGCACGGCGTGTGACTGATGTGTCTCTGGCGGAAAAGGGTTTTTACTATACAAGTCTTGCGTGGGGACTTGTGCTCCCAAACCCCCAAAAAACCTCTGAGTTTGATCCCAAGGCACCAGAAAAAGCAAAAGCCGGCCAGCAGAACCAGTAGGATGGCCTTGTTGTTTCTCATGGCTCTTAGGTCCGTTTTTTGAGGAGGGGTTGGGCTTTGGGGCTTTGGCCTTCGAGTTTTGGCTGGGCCCGCTCACAGCCATGCGCGACATCAATGATCAAAGGAACTGAGGGTTAAAAGGGTAAAGGATGATCATTCCTACTTTGGTCAGTAGCCTAATTCACAAAGGGAGCTGTCTGCATATAAGGCCGGGTGAATCTAGAACTATCAGCGCGCATCCTGGACGAGCAAATGTTAGCAGTTAGCGAATTCCGCTTGGAGTGGTCTCGTTCCGGTTGCAACAACTCGGTTCACCGAAGCGGGAATTCGGCTTAGTTCGACTTACTTCACAACGAATAGGCGGCTAAGGCTGCAGGCACCGAGGTTGGGCCAGTTACTGAAAGCTAGCCGACTGCATCTGCAGTTCAAAGGTCTAACTTCACTTGGACGACGCGGACCTGTAGCCTGTATCACATCCAAGTAATGATCCAAGCGCTGAGACCCAGCCACAACACATGCAGCAATGCGCTCGGCGTCTCTACGCTTCGGGCACATCTGACAAGGCAACGAGCATCAAGGTAGGCCGTCGTTGCCACCCAACCCTAAGCAAAGCCAACCTCGGCCCGACTTTGAAGCCCGCACCGAAGTAAGCCAAACAAACTGAGACTGCTGCAGCCCACTCTATGCCTCTCACAATTCACCCAAAGTCCAAGCAAGCTCTAAATCCTACGCCCATCAACAGTCTGTAAAGGGCTTAAGGCGTGGCGGGAAGCCCGTGGTTGATCGGATTTGCCTTGCAAAATCTATTCGGAGGATATGTGGTTGAGGGTTTAGGGTGTAGGGTTTAGGGTTTTGCTCTCTTCTCAGGGATAGCCCTGCAAGGAAGCTCCTTTTCCGACTGAAACTTGGACTCAGTGCTGCTGTGGTCAGAATGCATTTCTGGGGCCCTAACTAGACAAGGGTCTTGGGTTACAGTATGGTCTTGTTGTACATGGACGATAAGTAAGGGATGGGATTACTAGCCCTCCTCGGCTGCGACATGGCGTTGTGCTGCGCGCCACTGGCGACCACTTCGTGGAAGCGGCGCGCTCGCCAAGGCTGCCTGAGGCTTCTTTGGGCGGCCTTTTCGGGGTTTCTGGCTCGAGGCCATCGGAATGGGCGTCCCAGCTTCAGGAACATGTTCGCGTGCAGCTGGCCTGGCTGTGTCTTCGGGCTGGGATGTCTGTCTCGACAGCACTGCTGGGGCTGCAGCCCCGGGTGCTGGAGGCTGTCCTGGATTTTTCAAGCCATCGCTCGGCTTGAGCCCCAGCAGCTCCTCCAGTCGGATCACCCGCTTGGGCTCCTCCTCCTCCTCTTCCTGGCGCTCTTGTGGTGGAGGATTGGCTTCCTCCCTTGCTGGCACCTTGGAAGCCTCTTTCTTGCGTCGTCCGGCTTTCTTCTTCTTGCGACGCTCCTCATCCTGGGCACGCTTGCTGCAGGGCTCCTGCACTGCCGCCACCACGTCGTGGCTGCTGGCGGACATCTGCCTTGCGGAGTCCTGAAACGAAGATGCTGGGACCCTACCTTCGGTCTCGGAGTTGCCCGAGGATTCTGCATCCGCCCAGCGGCCAACTCCGGCAAAGCCCCAGGGAAGACTCGGATGCTCAGGGACTTGCTCCTCGACCTCTTCCGCTTCCAGATTTGGAGTCTCCTCAGCTGGAACCTCCTCCTCCTCAGCTGGAACCTCCCCCTCTGCGACCGACATGCATGTAGCATCTGGGGGACCGGGGGCAGGAAGTACAGTCCCAATGCAGTACGGTGCCGGAAGAACTTGCGGCCCTGTAGCCGGGACAGGAATCAACATTGGACCCTGGATCCGTCCGTTTGGGAGCACACCGGCCTGGAAGAGCTGTGGTAGCTGCATAGGGGTCACCAAGAGGCCCACAGGTGCGAGTCTGTGAACAGGGCTGCTGTCGGGAGTGTAGATCGCATGCTCGATAACTTTGCCCTCTTCGGGTCGCATGGGCTCCTCCTCGTACCAGTCCTTCATCACTTCTGTCTCGTCGTTGCTCTCGGAAGGCGGCAACTTCAGCATCTCTTCCTCGATCCAGTCCTTGCTTGGAGTTAACGCAGACGTGCGATCGCTGCCTTCAGAAGCTTGGTGTGAAGTATTCGTCTTCCAGCTGGGCCCTGCCAAAGAGCCAACATGACGGAGTTGCCCGCAGGTGATCACAAGCACGAAGCACCCGAGCGTGAGCGCCAGCACCTGCACGAGGACGAAGTGCCTCTTCTGGCTCCGGGCCGGATTGCTGCGTGCCAGCGGATCCTCAGAACCCTCGGCCAGCACCGGACTTCGCCGGCGAGGGCTCAGAGGGCTCTCGCCTTCGAGACGTCTGCCGGAAGAGAAGTGGGCAAAGACAGGCTCGTCAGCCGCAGGCCTTCTCGTCATCCGGGAGTCCGGGAGCCTTTCTGCAAAATCCAGAGCCATGGCAATTTGGCCGGAAGTCATCTGCTTTAGCCTGACCGTGGACATCAGCTCGGCTTGCGCCAGTGTTCCATCAGGCGGAACAGTAGCTCGAGCGTCCTCCACGGGAATGCGTCCCGCGAGCCACTCGTCAGCTGCCACTCGATTCGTCAAGAAGGGTGGGGCCTCACCCATCTCGAAGCGCAGGAGGTTCACCTCCGGGTGCAGCACTGCTTCCTCCAGCAAAGGCCTTGCAGCCAACAGCGCGGCCTTTGCTTGTCGAAACCGTCGCTGCGCAGCAAGGCTGTGGACGATCGACAGCGCACGGACCACGGCGGGGTCCTGCGGCATGGGTGCGCCAAGAACTTGCTGAAGCTCGGCTAGAGATCGTCGGCCCGACTGCAGGGCGGTTTGCTGCTGCCGCCACCGCTGCTCTTCCGAAGGGCCCCACCGCTCTGCGGCAACAGTATTCTCAGCTGGCAAAGACGATGGTGGGACTTGTTTTTGGTAGCCGAACGGCTCTTGCACTTGCGGCGCAACCCAGGGCTCTGCCAGGAGAGGCTGAGCTAAAACCCAGCAAAAGGCCAATACGGTGCGCATTGCGAGGCCGGTGCCCGGTGCCATTGCGACGGCACAAGCGGGCCCGCCTCTGCCACAAGGGCTTTCACATAGCTTGAACCTTGTGCCGTCGGCAATGGCTCATGGGTTTAGTTCAATGCTCCAGTTTCTGCCCTCACAGCACATCTCGCCAGTCGCACAGACAACATCAGCAGACACCCCACGGCGAATCTACAGGCAACTGTTCCGCTCTTAGCTTCTTAACATTACCATCAGATTTCTCATCTGCCTACAGGCCGTCCACATCCTCTTTCTCACCAGGACTTGATGAAGATCCTCAACCCGAAACCTCCAAACACCAATCCAAGAACTCACCCGGCAACCTGAACTGTCTTAGTCCAGGGGTCCCCGAGGTGCAAAAGGCCCCAGATTTGCAAAGGACCAACCGTCAGCCAGGGCTTCATCTTGTCGTCTTCGTCCGGACGACCTTCGATTGCGTTTGGGAATTTCCGCCAGGAGAAACGACAGATCCGTCTCCCGAAAGCCCGGCAAAAAGCTGAGAGTGTTCTGTCAAGACAAAATGTCCGTCGGGCGCGCATTACACCGTGGTTTTGCAAAGGGTTTACATGCATGTACCTTCCATCCAACCGTCCATCCGTCCATGCATCCATCCATCTGTCAGAGCATACGCAGCACTACTGCCGCGAAGTGGAGTACGATAGAGGAAGAAGATAATGGCGAGAGTGATACGGAAATGATGACGTTGACGAGGACCAGGATGATGCTGATGATGATGGTGGTGGTGATGGTGATGATGCTGATGAATGATGCTGATGATGATGATGATGATGATGGTGCTGATGATGGTGCTGATGATGGTGAGACGATGATTACATGATGATGCTGGTGGTGATGATATGGTGGTGGTGATGGTGATGGTGATGATGATGATGATGATGATGATGATGATGATGATGATGATGACAGACACCATGCTCGCGATCTTAAACCTGCTGCTGCTGCTCTCCTGATGGTACTGCCTCCACAGGAGATGGTGGCGCTGGTGCCTCAACTTAAATTGAAATCCGAATGACTTAGATTGAACCAGAATTACTGTTGTCGCCGCTATTGCCATCTTCGTCTCGTTCTTGACCGTGGTACGGCAAGTCATTTCGATGTTGCTTCCCTCAATGAACTATGAGCCTGAGCCTCGTCCTTCTTAAACATGTTGACCGGCGTCCGAGTCCTAACTCTAAAGCCCTGGCTCCCTTTTCCCTGAAAACCTCCAGATCAGCATGGACACTGTCGCTCCCACTTTCGAGGTCCTCCTTCGGCGTAGCCTGTGAGAGAAGCGATGAACCATGGAGAAAACTCCAGCGGAATAACCTAAGCCTAAACCCCAACCCTTGTAGAAGATAGAGAAGACCCGATGAAACCCCGAGGCTCAAACCTTGGCTGCTGCACCCAATGCTCATCCGAGGACGGAACCCTTGCGGCATTATTCCGGCACCGTGTGTGCACCCACCAGATTAGCGACCCTCAACTCCCTACTCTAGACTCTAGAAGCAGAATACTTACCAGTAGTGTTCCTTAGGGTTCTTTGTTGTAGTTATACTATGTTCTATTGTAATGTACCCGAAATCCTATTCTGGTCTCTTCACACACACACATATATACATATATATATACACACACAAGGACACACACCGGTCCTGCCGCGCACCATAAACCGGCGTGGGCGCAGCCATGATAACTCGATCGTCATCGTCCCTGTTGAACAAATCGTAGGGCTTTCCCGGGCTGCGTTGTACACCCCGTCACCTGACACCTATAACCGACTTCTTCTTGGCTTTTGGATGTCGAGGGTACTCCGAGCTGAAGCGTAGAAACTGTCCTATGCTAGGAGACGAGGGCGAAAGTAAGTAGACGTTGTCTAGGGTAGGATGCTCCCTTTCACTGGCACCCAGATAAGAACACCGAAAGTATACTGTCAGCTCGCAAGGCGCCCTGACAAAGCTCTTGTGACAGAAACTACTCTATATACACCAACAGACGACGATATGAAGATCCACGACGCCCCGTTTCGGCAGCATTTCTTGGGAGGCTAGACGCTTAGGCTTGACGGCGTCCCGGGTGAAGTTTTCGGGGCTTCGCAGCGTCATGGACCCCCGGAGAATGCAGCACCCAAACCCTACACTTTTCGCCTTCCGACCTTGAGTCTCAAAGCCCCAATGAAACCCCAAATTCGATCTATGTTCTGATGAACCGACCACGGGTCTCGGACCCTTTGCTTCGACACCCTGGAGCTTCCTTCAAGCTGGCTCAGGGCAGTTAGTGGCGAGATACGACCCAATCATCGCCCGTGGCCTGCGTTCACACTCAAGTGTGGCTCAAGAAGTGTACCAGACCTTGCCTATATCTGCGAAATGCTAAAGCCAATCCTGCAAACTCTGAATCTAAAACCTAGTGCCCTTAACCTAAGCTGTCGGGGTCATCGAACTGCTGCTGCTGCACTGATGGAGGATGGTGTCCAGGATGCTACGGCACTTCGGAGCGTCCTCCTGGACCACCGCACCTCGGGTTTGGGATTTTGGCGTAATGATGTAGGGGTTCTGCAGGTTCTATAAGGCTGGCTTGAGGGCTGGAGCTTGCCTCCTGTTGGACTTAAGGAATTCGGAGTATTTTGGGTGTTTCGTCTTGGAGCCTCACGCTTTGACCCTGGGGTCCATGCTCCAGGCTTCGGGCTCAGCACACCAGAGTTTGACAGGCGGACACCCTGCGACCTGGGATGTGGACTTGGGCATTGCACCTGGGACTCTTTCAGACAGGCACATGCTATGCAGCTGCGGCACGGAGCAGCTCAGAGAACATCTCAAAGGTAAGTTCGCCCTCGAGGTCCTGAACTGCATCCTCGTCCAGGGCGAAATAAACCCTGAAACACTAAAGCCAACCTTTTCGGCATGTTTCTTTAGGGCTAGGGCACAAACCCCAGACCCTCATGGAAGAATGGAGCCTCGGGGTAGTCCGGGATCAAATCCCACAGCTGCGTGAAGCCCAGAAGGAATTGTTCCGCCTCCTGGAATTCAGACATGAGGGTTGCTGTCAGCTTCTTTCCGAGTTCCATGCGAGGTGACGGGGCAAACAGTCCGAGTTCCTCAGCCGTGCTATTCTGGCTTCATGCAGCAACAACATTGTAGCTTCAAGGCTCCCAAGTATCGCCCTCAGTCACGGTGGGATGTTCATCACTGATTCAGACTTGTCGGACGTCGGATCACCGGTGCAATGAGCTTGGTTCCACATGGTTCCAGAGTCCAGCTTTGTAAAGGGTTGAGAATGCCAGGCACAGCTCCTCCTCCTGCAAGCTGCCGCTTTTGTCCATGTCCGCGTGTAAAAACAGGCTGAGAGAGGAGACCACAGCCTCCGAAATCCGGTGCGCCATACCCCGCGATAGGATTCGAGGCTCAGGGGGCTCTGCCCCAAACCTCAACTAGTCCTCAACCAAGAAAGCCTGAGCCCTACTCTTTGAAAAAACTGAACCGTGGACCTCCAGCCTTGACAGCCTAAAACCTGAGTAATCCCACAGTCCCAAGTCTCAGTGTTTGGGCCTGCACCCGGCTGTGATGCTCCAAGTTCCGCAATAGCTCCAGAGCGGAGTCTGCATCAGTGTCTAGCTGCTTGTGCACCTTGGTGGTTTCTACCACCAGAAATCTTTGTGGGCCTGTGCGAATCGATTTTGCCACTTCTTGGTGGGGGTGCCCGGGCCGTGACTTTGGCTTTTTCCGTGCTCACGATCCAGCAGCACGGACACCCCACTCCACTTGCAGCAGCAATCAGGACAAGGTTTTTAGGCCGTACAGAAATACACTGGTGCCTTAGTCCTATAGGACCTGTTCTGATGTCGTCCCCCCCCGTACGCCCTGAAACGACACCCAGTCGAACACGACAGCCTAACCCGCAACCCTCAAGTCATAAGAGGCACTGCCGCGAACTTCTGGTCAACTCCTGCCAGCTCCTGTCGGATCGCAGGGGCTAGGGCCAGGGCGTCAAGTGTTTCTACGATTATTGCATTTTTGGCTTTCACTGTTGGTCAAGCCAGATCAGGTTCACCATCTGTTGCAGGTCAGGAATTAGGGTCCCTTCGGCTCTTGCTTGCACTCTCTGTAAGGATTGTCTTGGGGACCCTACCAGGATGCTCCTTCAAGAGGGTAATTTCATATAAGTCTGTTCGTCAGATGTCTGCACCATGGCTCGTCTTCCGATTGCTGCTCCCTTGCGATGTCAGCGAGCGCTGGGCTTTTTCCCCAGGACCTATCTAAGCTACACAAGTAAGGGATGATGGACTTAACATGGCGAAGACTTCAACAAACAACTGCTGCAGGACCCGGGCTGAAATCGACCAACAGCACTTTGCTCTTACGAACCACATGGCCATGTTGCTTACAGAACGACTCCTAGTCTCCACGCACTCTGTCAGTGCTCCCTCAACACTAAGCCTTCAATCCCAAAATTGCAGTTCCTGGAGTTGCTTCTCCAACTTGACGTTGCTGGTCGATAGGCGCTTGTTCTGGTGGGTGAGCATGGCCACAGAGTCTCGTAGGCTCTGCAGAAAGCAGGGGTCCCTCCTGAGAGAGGTCTACTGAACAGATCGGGGCACTTAGTAAGAAGGCTTCATACATAAGAACAGCGGTGTTCCCGCTTATGACCCGGCTTGTAACCCAGTTCTCTCATCTCCTGATCCGATGCGCCTTATCCTTTGAGTAGCGTGTAAGGCTTTATGATTTATGGTGGAAAAGCTCGAGAAGCCATGTCTGGACGGTGTTGCACACATGAGCCTGCGCAGCTGGCTCCTTCCTTTTGCGACAGAAGTTTGGGTCTATTGGCCCGTGGCGCTTTGGTTGAATTTATAAAGCGTGCCCATCGGGCAAATAAATCCGCTGATGCTATAACCTTAACTGTTCGCTGAGCCTAGCCCGATACAGAACCCAAGGGTACAAACGCGAAGAGCAGCACACACACACACACACATGATAATTGACAATGCCATCGGCATCACCGCCAAAGTGATCAACATCACCATCACCATCGTCGCCATCATCATCATCATCATCATCAGTACCACCATCAGCATATCCATCCTCATGGCCCTCACCGCAACAGAAGAAGTACAGTCAAAACAACCATATGGGCCGGTATTCGTGTTTGCTTTGTTCAGAAAGCATTGATGATGAAGCGGAACTCCTTCAGGGTATACAAGGGAGCAATCCGCGAACATACGAACCGAAAGAAACGAGTGCTTCAGTCTGCATTTCGTCACTTCAGCGTCGAGCGTCCCAATGACATAAATGGAACCTCAGATGCTTTCCAAGGCAGGCTTCTTTCCGTTTGTGCTATGTTCTCTTATGTTTTGCAGTAATTGATGGCATGAAGATAGATTGCTTACATTACATTGCTTTGTATTATGTTGTTTCATGTTTTGCTCTGCTCTGTTCCCTTGTCTTCTATCCTACTCAATCCATTCTCTCCTCCGACTCGCAAAAATGGACACCGGCGTTCGGCTAAGGTTTTGCAATTTTGGGGGGACCCGAAACCCTAAACCCTGAACCCCAAGCCCTTCAAGCCAGGCTCCCTTGTGACGTCACCTTAAGAACCGCAGCCACACTTCCCTGAATGCATCCACCGCCACCCGAAGCTTGCAAAGAGTGTACCGAGGTCCTTTCACACACGTAGTATAATACACTACAGCACGGCACAATACAGTACGGTACAGTGTAGGATAGTATAGTAATATAGTATGGCATAGCATAGTATAGTATAGCATGGTATAGTATAGCAGAGTATAGGGTGGAGTAAGTCTAGGTCAGAAGACCCCGACCCTGAGCTGCGTTCAGGAGCCTGCGGCCGCAGCGCCCAAAAGAAAACTCTGCCAGGAGAGGCGGTTGTCCTGTGATGCGCTGACACGAAACTCAAGTGCTCCCGAGTTATCTTTGAACATTGGGGTCAACATCGCCTCACGACCCTTGCAACCTTTCACACCTCGGCTTTCAACAGAAGTCAAATTGAGCTGCAGACCTGCCCACCGTTAACCCTGACTCCCGAAAGCCTATGCACGCATAAAGAAAAATGAAAACACAAACTTTTGGAATGAAACCCGACATCACCACACGTGACAAACACTCAAGCCACGCAATTACCAACCTCCTCCTCCTCCTCCTCCCTGCAATCTCCTCGGGCGGCAGCACTCCGACGACGAAGAAGGTAAACGCCAAAGCCTTGCTTCTCATCAGATCATCACCAGCTGAGTTTCAATGATATTCACAATCAGGAAGAACCACAAGCCACGAAGCGAATTCATGATCATCACGAGAGTCATGAGTCATAACCATCACTCACCGACAGCAGTTCATAACCATCATAATTTTCATTGTCTTCAGCATCATCCATCTTCATCAGCATCACCATCACCATCGTCATCATCATCTCCTTCCCCATGATGTTATTGCTCGTCTCGTTTGCGTCAGCTCCGGATAAGGAGTGAATACGGCTTCTCGGTACGACGAAAAATGTAAGCAAGGAGATGCCTCTTCAAGGAAAATCTGCATGTAGGCCTCCCGAAGTCGAAGCGCATGAGAGCAAGTGGCTCTTTGCTTCGGCGATACCCCAAAAGTCACACTTCAAACCCCGGGCATTCAGGCCAGAGCACGACCAGCACCCACAGTCCGCAGGCTAAGTTTTGGGCATTCTTCAAGATGCAGAAGACCTTCGCGACAAAACGCATGTTTGTGGCAATGGCTTGAGGATTCCGTGAGAGGTCGCATGGCACAAGCGCTGACAAGGCCGATTGAACAAGCCCCCGAGCTGATCAATCACTGATTCCGTGGTTGGAAGGAGACTCCTGTCCGGAGGCAAAGGGCTGAGGCCGTCCGAAAACTTCCCCCGCCCTGAAATCCCAAAACAGAAACCACAAGCGCGACAGGCAGGTGGCTGAAAAGGTAAAGAAAGCCCCATCCTGAAGCCCGACCGTCATTACAAGCCGGTGTCGTCTCAGTACTACCTATGATTGTATGTCTGTGGTTGATGCTATCGTTGTCATACACGCATAAGTCTGTGCTTGCTATTCTCATTCTTATCATTACTCATACGATTACGAGCACACGTACTATGGTTACCATGCCCAGAGAACCCAACACCCCTGAATTAAGGAATATACCTCAAATCATAAGAAAAAAGGTCCCTACAATTTAAGGTATATTCCTTAATTAAGGTGTATTGGGTTCTCTGGGTGAGTAGTAGCCGCCGACGTCTGGGCCGCAAGCCGATGGCTGTTCCCAGACAAGCCCAGGCAGGAGAACCTCCCTCAGCCGCTGCAGAAGACGTCCTGACAGGTGTCTGCAGACCACCCAAGCGATGAGCACTGAGCACGCCAACATGCTTGACAGGGCGAAATACAGTATTCGTTTGAAAGTCAAGCATCTCTGTTTGCGGGCTTCGTGGTTTTGCGGCTTCGCGGCTTCAGGCTCACTCACAAGGCTAAGGGCAGGGGCTGCACAGGCTCAGTCAAGGCTTCTATGCCCGGGGAGGTTCAGACTTCAAGATTGAGGTCGACTTCGATTCGTACTCTAAGAATGAATGCTACCGGCACGGTAGCTGTTGATGCGTGCTACCGTATCATGGCGAATGTCATGATGATGATGCTGATGTTGCTGATGATGCTGATGGTGTTGATGATGCAGATGGCGCTGATGATGCAGATGATGGTTGATGGTGGTGATGATGATGGTGATGATGATGGTGGTTGATGGTGGTGGCGGTGATGGTGATGGTGATTGAAGGTGGTGGTGGTGGTGATGGTGATGGTGATGGTGATGGTGGTGATTGATGGTGGTGGTGGTGGTGAAGACGGTGATGGTGAAAGTATGGTGGTGGTGTTGGTGGTGCTGGTGGTGAGGATCATGACCCTGCTTTTTTGTAAGCTGGCTTGTCCAAGACCAACATCTTCTTTGCTGTCTTACCTTAGATGATCGACAACTTCGAGCTTCCCTCCCTTACGTGCAGAAGTAAAACCCCTGGCTGGAGGGTTGAGGCATGGGGGGGCGCAGGCATGAAGGGCCCTACAGCCCGTCCCCACTCGATCGACAAGCGAGCCACTGAAGCGAAAATATGTCAAGTTTGAGGCCTTCCATAAACTCTGCAAACCACCCACCTCCCATCCTCCCAGAACCAGGAAAAGTTAACAGTGAACACAGAAGCAATCCAACCTGGCAATCTATCAGCTTCCTCAACCACAGAACACACCCCACTGAGAACCTAAACCCTGCCGCGGCCTCCCGTTGAGCTGTCGCTTTCTTCTCCGCTGCTTTCGGTCGCTGACTCGGTCCCCGACGAGGCCGCAATGGCCGACTTAGGGCTTTGAGATGCCATGGGAGTGTGTTCCCACGTGGGCTTAGGATTTTTGGTTCAGGGTTTAGGGTTTCGGCTGTAAGTTTTGCACCTGAAGTTGCTGCAGGGTTTTTTGTGTTGTGGAGTTCTGGCCTTCGGCTGTTGTGTTTCGCATGGCGCTTTGAGCTTGCAAGGCTGTAGTTGGGCTCCCATGTAAGGCTGGTTGCAAGTAGTGCCTGTCCCATGCCTCGGAGGTGACAAGGCATAAGGTTAGGCTTGAAAACACATGAACTTTCGGACTGAGCATCGGCATTGAGTTTTAGACTGCTTGCTGGCTCTCGTGTGGCTGGCGCTTCTGTAAGCTCATGCTGTCACCTAGAAACTGCAAGCGAGCCAGGAAGATCCCCCCCACAGCTCATTGCGCAGAGAAACCTTGCCGAGCTTTGGAAGTCCGCTTGGACTTGAAGGTCAAAACCATGGCTTCAACAAGCCTCCATCCTCCAAAACCCTTGAGTCGTGACCTGCAATGCAGACACGAGGGGGCCGGGCTTCTTGAAGAGCTTGGGGCGGGGATGGGGAGTGATCGCAATACTTGGAAGTCTTTGTCTTTGCGTGTCGGGCGCTGGCAATCGAGGGCGTACAAGACAACAGAACGGGCAAAGCGGACCTGCACACATGTGCTTGAAACGGTACATGCAGGTGTAGGCATGTATCTGAAATGCCTCGCAAGCAGGTTTGTATGCATGCATGCATTGCGTGCATTGAATGCATGTGTGGCATAGAGTGCGTGTGTGTGTGTGTGGGTGTGCTGCATGTGTGTGTGTGTGTGTGTACACATGTAGGTGGGTGGGTAGGCAGGTAGGGTAGGGTAGGGTAGGGTAGGGTAGGGTAGGGTAGGGTAGGGTAGGGTAGGGTAGGTTAGGTTAGGGTAGGTTAGGGTAGGTTAGGGTAGGTTAGGGTAGGTTAGGGTAGGTTAGGGTAGGTTAGGGTAGGTTAGGGTAGGGAGGTAGGTAGGAAGGGTAGCTACACTCGCACGTGCGATTGATATGCGTCTGCACATATGAATGTTTGAAAGCATACAAGCATCGTATAGGCCCGGTTGTGTATGTGCACATATACCAGGTATATGGGTACACACATGCATCCACACGCGTCATGTATGTGCGTATGGCAATCACAGTTCTACCCATGAGCGCGTACACA